TATTTATTCACCCAAACCATATTTGGTATCAATGTTATACCTAACAACAGGTTTGGTTTTAATCTGACTGTTCTTGACTTGAGATCTGGGATTTCCATTAATTCGGGCCACACAGACCCTCATGAGTTCAATCCTGCATTTGCGAAGCCATTCAGGATTCTGTTTTACTACTATTTGCCACTGGTCAATATACTGGTATTGGTCTGGGTGACCATAATCTGAGTCAGTAACAATCTGGTGGACTTTTGAAATTATGTCTAGATTAAAACTTCCTTCTGGCTTCTAACCTATGTTAAAAGTTGGCCGCTCATTCTCACAATTTTTTTTTAAGTCATCCGGATTGGCCTTGGGCTCTCCATAACTTTCACTAAAAACCTTCTTAAAATTCCTCAGCATACACTGAAGAGGTGTCCGAGGGATACTTCCTCCACCACCCATTTCTAAACTGACCTGCGGTGCCAGATGTTCCAACGGTCACCAACAGGAACTGCAATGGCTTAACCACCCACACAATACTGGGGCCTCATTAGGATTCACTGATCCTGGGCCCAGGGGGGTGATCAGGCCCCCTCTTCCACTCTCAAAACGAGTGGGTCTGCACTTCCCCAATACTTGCCTGCAGGCATCTTCTTCCCAGCCGGCGTTATTTCATAACTTATCTTTGGCTCCGCTTAGGCTCTTGGATCGGTCAGTTGTCCACCTAATACCCCTACGATGCCGTCTGCCTTCCCTCTGGAGAAATCTTCTGTACTGGCTGAAGGTTCAGCGAGATGGCCCCAGCTGGGCACAGGTCGGTCTGTGCCGTCCTCAGCGAAATATCACTCTGAGTCCTGCTGCGGTCTCCATTAATGTTGCAGGAAATTACGAGACTCAGACCACGGAGTCAAAGATAATTGTTTTATTTGTGCAAAGGTTCAGAGATATTTAGCCAAGGCCCATCTGAACACCTTCCTATGGGTTTCACAGTTACTTTTATACACTCCAAAGGCTACAAACCACAGAAAAACAACTTGTCAATCATCCATTGGTTACACTGAATTTCAGCTACCCCCCTCCCCTGTTGCTGGGCTAAAGTAGCTGGATTTCACAGAATCTTTGCTAACCTACCTTGCTAAATCCTGACTTTTTGCATCTTCGTTTGTGGTTTTTGTTGCAAGCAAGACAACGTTTCCTGCTTGACAAATATGGGTGGATGACCAATGGATGACCCTTTAATCTGCCCTTTTTCATTAATACACATATTTCATTATCAAGCAGAATCATGTTAATATTTCCCCAAAAACAATATATTTATTCTTTCTGCCTTAATAAGGTCAATGTGATATGAAATTGAATAAACAAATGAATAAGTGACTATGGTCCTGTTTGTATTGAGATGTGAAACCTGGAGCCACACTGCTTGCTAAATGAGAATTTTTTATTTAAAAAAAAGAATTGAGGAGGAAATTGAATAATGAAATTACTAGGTATGTTTAACTGATATGGTGGTTGGCATGAGGAGAGAGTATTGAAAGGTTGAAAATAGGCAATGAAGCATTTTGATTTAATGTGAATATGTATATTAAGAGATAGGATTGGTATTATTAAGTTGGCCTATGCTAAAATGTATGATATATTGATGCCACACTGTTAATGTATTGTTGTATATGTGTAGATTGAAATAAAAAAACTTGGGGGGAAAAAAGGAAGCCATGAAGAAAACAGGTTCTCCTTGAGAACTGGGGGTGGGGGTGCAAATGATTGACAGGTAGACCCCACCCCACCCTGTGATGTTTGAGAGCCCCAATTCCAGCTGGATGAAAGGCCCAACCAAACCCTGGAAGCAAAGGCTGTTCCCTTCTGGGGCCATTCCTCAGCTCTTTCCAGGTCTCCATCCCTAATGGGGCCTGAATCCCCCTCTCCAGGGGTGCCCCAGGGATGAGGGCCAAGGTGAGGGGGGAGCCAGCTCATAGCAGACACCCGTCACCTCATCACCTGAGCAGAGGACTGCAGCAGGAAAGTGGGGAGGGAGGGGCCTGAAGGAAAAGGGGGAGAGAGGGACCTGAGGGAAAAGGGGGAGAGGGGCCTGAAGGAAAAGGGGGAGAGGGGGGCCTGAGGGAAAAGTAGAGAGAGGGGCCAGACAGAAAAGGGGGAGAGTGAGGCCTGAGAGAAACAGAAAAATTAGCCTGAGGGAAAAGGGGGAGAAAGAGGCCTCGGGGTATCATAGGAAAATTCTAATAAGAAAACCAAAGACAGACCACAAGCAATAAACCTTACTTTAAGATCAGAGGTGTATTGTTTCTAACAATTTGGGACAAAAGAAAGAAGCGAGAGATATAATAACCACAGAAAACTCACATTAACTAACCATTGCAATGGAGGCCTTCAAGGACTGCTATAAATCAAAGGACCCCAATTCTCATCTCAAGCCATATTTCTTACACTTTCTTTTTTCCACAGTTTCCTCTCCTTGTTCTTTCTTACTTTCTTACTTACCGTCACTTTCCATAAACACCATGGACGTTTGAAGCTCTCAGCCATTTGCTACTTTCAGTTCCTCATCTCCCCCAGTTTCATTCTTCCCGTTCTAAATCTTTCCATACAAGTACGTAACTTTGCAGAAACATAGCACCCAAGTCAGACCATTAGAAATATCTCTAGTACATTTTGCAATTGTGTTGGTTTAAAACTTTAGTTCAGGGAGGCCTGCAAGCCCACTCCTAGGCTTTGTTACCTGCAACTTTTCAATTGATATATTTCTTTTCTCTCAAGAGGAAAGGTGGAGAAATTAGCCTGAGGAAAAGGTAGAGGAATTAGGCTGAGGGAAAACTAGAGAAATTAGCCTGAGAGAAACATAGGGAAATTAGCCAACAGTGTGCAACAGCAACCAAAAAAGCTAATGCAATCCTAAATTGCATTAACAGAGGGATACAATCTAGATCAAGTGAGGTCCTTTTCCTTGGGGTGCTCCAATAAAATCGAAAGAGGTGTGGGCTTCCAAAATCCCAGCAACGTGTTCTCTGCCTGGTTGCTGGGTGGGCGTGGCCATGGTGGGCGTGGCCTCCCAGAATCTCTGGAAGGCCCATTTTTCCGCCACTCCCCAGGCTCCGTGCGGGCCCTGCACTTACCTGCATCCAAAATGGGCTGCATGGAGACTCTGGGGAGGGGTGGGGCAGGGTGGGAGGGGCCAGCCAGGGGTGGGATTTGGCAGTTTGCTGGACCAGCCATAATGTTAGCAATGGGTCTGGCCAAACCCGGGTGTGATGACCCGGAGCGTGACACAAAAATAACCAAGTCACAAAAATAGAAGAAAGTCCCTTTAATGCCTCCAACTTGGCCCCAATATCCAATTATCCTCAGCAGGATATCAAACTGTTAAAGAAAACAGTTTATGGAGGGAGTAAATGCAGTCCGCACCCAAAGTAAAGTTAATTTGAAATAAAAAACCCAACACAAACCACACTGAAGGAATTACTACAGCAGGCAAGGATGATTAATTGCAGACTTTTACCAGATAATGCAGCAACCACAGTTGGGAGGAAGCCAAAACACAGACTAAAGCACGCTTTGCTTCCAGCAACTTTGCCATGCACAGTTTGTCCTTTTAACCTGTCCTCCCAGCTGCAGCCCATGAAGGGGATCAGGGCCCCTTCCTCCCCCATAGACCACGACACTCACATTTCTCCCTTATCCTCTCCCTGTTTGCCCTAGGATGAAGAGGGGATGGGCCTGGCTGCCTGGGTCTTCCTCTGAATGTCCAGCCAGCCTGTGCCCTTCCCCAGTTTCCTCCACAACCACTGGAGCCACCCTCCCACTCCCTGTCAGCTGTTTCATCTCTCCCTTGGAGTCAGACTCCAACAGGGGCATGCCACCAGGAGAACCCGTCGCAGCCCACCCCTGACTCAAAACCAGCACCTCGTGCCTGGTGTCCCTCCTTGGCCTCGGCACCAGGCTCAGACCTGAATTGGGGAACGACAATTGTGAAGTCAGATAACAGATAACAGATAATCAGAGTTGGAAGGGACCTTATAGGTCATCTAGTCCAACCCCCCCACCCAAGCGGGAAACCCTACACCATTTCTGAGAAAAATCATTTATGCAAAAGATTTTCTGCTTCTCCTATTGCAATGTACTTGAAGGGTTTCTTTGTGTCTTTATTGGATTCTTTATTAGAAATTAAAATGCCATCAGAAAAGGAAAAGTGGGAAGGGAATCATGCAAACAGTTCAGAAGCGACAGAAAAACACGCACATCCAAAGTAATATGCCTCCAAAGTGACCTTCGCCTTTTTTTCCAGTGCAGAGGCAATATCATCACAACCGCCTCCCTTTCAAATTCATTTAATCTTAAAGGAATAACACAAATACTTCACCTGGCTAAAGATACGAATAATCAACATTCCGAAAAATGACGGTCAGAATATACTGTATTCTTCTCTTAACTTTAATCATCGGACACATAAGAAGGTGGTCAAGTCTGAAGGACTGAATAATTACAAATCCACAATATTTTTTTTTCTTAAGCAGATCAGATTTAGTGGTCAAAACCCAAAGCGAAAGACAAGCGAATTAAACATTAATCATGAACAGAACAGAAACACAGAGTTCTGTGAAGGGACCTTGGAGGTCATCTAGTCCAACCCCCTGCTCGAGCAGGAGTCCCTTAACAGAACCATAGAATTATGGGAGGGACCTTGGAGGTCATCTAGTCTAACTGCTCTAGCAGGAGACCCGTACAGAACCATAGAGTGACAGAGTTGGAAGTGGACTCGGAGGTCTTCTACTCCTTATTATAACGTTTCAGTCAGGTGGGCTGTTTAGTCTTTTCTTAAAAACCTCCAACGATGAAACACCCACAACTTCCGGTGGCCAGCAGTTCCACTAGTTAATTGTTCTCCCTGTTAGGAAGTTTCTCCTTCATTCCAGATTGCTTCTCTCCCTAATGAGTTTCCACCTGTTGCTTCCAGTCCTGTCTTCTGGGGCTTTGGAAAATAAATAGACCCCCACTCCTCCTCTTTGTGGCAACCTCTCAAATCCGGGGAGACTGCTATCCTGTCCCCCCCAGTCATTCTTTTCTCCAGACTAGCCAAACCCAAATTCCTGCCACCGTTCTTCGTAAGTTGTAGTCTCCAGGCTTCTGATCTCCTTAGCTGCTCTTCTCTGCACTTTTTTTCTTTTTCTGTTCTTTGTTTAAATAAATTTTATTCAATTTTCAAGATTAAAAAACATAAAATAAACTTTATGCATCGTTATATCGTCAAGACATCTTTTAAATTTCCTTATCATCTTTCTATATATATATCCTTTATAATCCCATTGTAATTACACATTTCTTTCATTGTTCAATTTCAACTTAATATATAAATAAGTATAAATATAAGTATCGATATAGGTATTTACATAGTTTCTTATTCTTTACCTAATTGCCATTTTGATTTATTTTTATTCTTAAACCATTCATACCAGGCATCCCAGACATTATAGTATATCGACTCTTCTTTGTCTCTTAATTTCATTGTTAGCCTGTCTATCTCTGCACAGTCAAAAAATTTTTTATAACAACACCCTCTGGTAGTAGTTTTTCCTGCTTCCAGAATTATGCATAGGAAATCCTAGCAGCTGTTAAGATATGTAACATAATGTATTTATCTTTTTTATTATATTTTTCTGTTATTCTGCCTAATAAGAATAGTTCTGGTTTGGGTTCAATTTTCTGTTTTATTACTTCTTCTAGCCACAATCTAATTATATTCCAGTACTTCTTGACCTCTGGGCAAGTCCACCACATGTGAAAATAGGTACCTTTTTCCTTCTTACACTTCCAACAGGTTGGGCTTAAATTAACCTGCACTTTTTCTAAAGTCTCAACGTCTTTTTTTGTGATGGGGCAGCCAAAACTGGATGCAGGATTCCAGGTGTGTGGCCTTACTAAGGTAAGGCAGGACATAAAAATATATTAATTTTAGACATATAATAATACAACTTTTATAGATAGTGAAAAGTTCTGTCTCACCTGTATCCACAGGTGAGAATCCAAAGTTCCACATTTATAATACTCAAACAAACGAACACAGACAATGCAGAGTTAAAGGTTTCTGTTTACTCAGTCCTTGGCAGTCTTCCCAGAATCTGTCTGGCAAGTCCGAGCTGACTATAATTCACGACACTGCATCCAAGAAGTTCAAACGTATTCTTCCAATCCCAAAATGCACTTTGCTCCAAGCAAAGATTGAGAGCCAGCACGCCTCCTTAAATCCCCTGGAGGGGCGTGTCAGTCTCTCTAATTAATCCCTGGCTTGACGTCTCCTTTCAGATTGTGATTGACGTTTCAATCTTCTTCTAGTCCTAGCATCAAGCCAACATCCGTCAGTCTCATCCTCACTCGAAGTCTCTGGCTCATTCTGTGGATCAGTTGCTGACATCCGAGGCATGAATGAAGTAGAAGGTTCTGGAGACGACCGTCTGTCCGACACTCTCTCATCCTCTTGGCTCACATCTGTGTCCTCTGATACCTCAGACTCCACATTCACAGCAGGCTCAAACCTTCCGTCTTCAGATGCATCAGATTCAAAAGTCCTAGCAGGGTCAATCCTTCCAGTCACAACATATGTGGTATTAGGAAGAGAAAGAACAAGGAAGTGTGAAAAGCCAAACCACAAGGATCATCCATCAGTCACAAACTCATATTTGCCAAGAAACCTTGTCTCACTTGTAACAAAACCACAAGCTAGGGAGTTTAGCAAGATGGGTTTGTGACATCCAGCCATCCTAGCCTAGCAACAGGGGAGGGGGAAAGCTGTGTTTCAAGTAACCAATGAATGACTGACAAGTTATATTTCTGTGTTTTGCCCCTTCTGAAGAAGTATATAGGCATGTGCTGTTCTATAAGAAGTTTGTTCAGAAGTAGCTCTGGCTAAAATATTCTGAACCTGTTTGCACAAATAAAACCAACTTATTTTTGGATTCCAAGGTCTGAGTCTCGTAATTTCCTGCAACAAAGGCTTTACAAAGCGGTACTAATCTTGTCTCATGATTTTGATTCTATGCCAGTGTTTAGACAACCAAGGATTGTGTTTGCTTCTTTGGCTGCTGCCGCACACGGCCAGCTCCTGTTTAAGGGATTGTCCGCTAGGACTCCGAAGTCCACCTTGCAGTTCCTGTTTTTGAGTCCCAATGACGTGCAATCTGGCTGCTGCTTCAAAAGGTTTTACAATGGCTGGACTATGTTTCCATCTACCCTGCCAAGATGGCACCGACGACAGCTTCCTTGGTGAAATGCTCTCTTTATTCCTTATTATTATCTGCCTCGGTGGACAGCTGCCTCAGTGAAATGTTTCTTTATTCCTTATTATTATTTGCAATTCACTACGGATTTCATACTCACAACACCATCTGCTAAGAATTAGGCAATGTTTCCTTAAGGAGCAGCTCTCTGATTCCTCACCCCCACCTGTCTTTGCAAACGTGGAGGAGATTCTAACCAATTCCCTGGTGCTATGGATTACAACAAACAAAGCAGGAAAGCGGCCACATGGAAAAAGTAGTCAAGGTAAACGAGCAGGAATTTTAAACAGACTAAGGAATGGGGGGGGGGACTCCTCTCCCTTCAATCTTTCTGACTAATTTATGCTCATTTGCTAACAAGATGGATGAAATTCATCTCCTAAATAGATGGAATTCTGATTTTTACAATTCACCTGTTCTTTGTTTTACTGAAACCTGGCTTAATTCACAAACTCATGGGGACAACACCATATACATCCGAGGATTTCAGACATTTAGATCAGACAGAATTTAAGAGACAACAGGTAAAACAAAGAGTGGAGGATTATGTTTATATATCAACATCAGCTGGTCTCAGGATATAACTATAATATATAAGTTCTGTGATGAAAACTTAGAGTCTTTATGTGGCTATTCTGTCTTGGTAAATTTCCATGAAACAAAATCTTGCTTAGCACAGAGCAAAGTTCACTAAGCTGACAGGAAAAGAACTGACAGGAAGAAGCTGAAGTTGATAAGATTAACTTCACAAAAGTCTGTCGGATAAAAGATGTGTATTCGGTATCAGTCACGAAATATCATCACAGAAGCTTGTGTCAGATAAAAGATGTATATTCAGGAAAAAACATGTTTATCAGTAACAGTCAAAAAGTTCGTTACTTGTATCACGTAGCCTGGTCTCAAAGATAAAGTTTGTAACTTCTTTGTCTTCCTGGAACCCCTCTCACCCCCCTCTTTGATTCAGTACAATAAAAGAGGACAGCGCAGAGCAAGCTGGCAGCCTGAACAATCCATCTGTCTCAGGCTCAGCCGGGACAATTCCATCTGCCCCAGGCGATGCGCTGCCTCACCTAAAGAAATCTTCGTCTTGTGTTCTTTTTTCTTTCCGCTTTTGCAATCACTCTTGCGAGAGTCCCGCAATCACCCTGGCTAGGGTTCCGCTGAACGCTTACTCTTAACGCTTTTTCTACACTGAACGCTGCTGCTCAAACTCACCCTGGATAGGGTCCAGCAGACGCTCAAACTCACCCTGGATAGGGTCCTGCTTTTGCCAAACTTCGCCCTTGCGAGGGCTTCTCTGTATCTCACTCTTGCGAGGGTCCCGTTCTGAGAGGAATTCAGCAATCAACCAGAAGATCGAAATAAAGGATCGGTCGCTCGACGCGACATCTTTACATATCAACTGCAAGCCATTTTATTCTCCATGTGAGTTCTCCTCATTTCTCCAAATAGCTGTGTATGTTCCTCCACAAGCCTGTGTAAACAAGGCATTACGAACTCTTGCTGATCAAATTATGGAGGCTGAAGCCAAACACCCAGGTTCCCTTCCCATCATTTTAGAAGATTTCAATCAAGCAAATTTAAGGAAAGAGCTCCCAAAATATTTCCAGCATGTAAACTGTCCCACCAGAGGCAAAAAATACTTTAGACCACTGCTACACAACAGTAAAAGATGCTTATAGGTCTTTACCACGAGCAGCTGTGGGACACTCTGACCACTGCATGATTCACCTTGTACCTGCCTACAGACAAAGACTTAAAACCATGAAACCAACAATTAAATCAGTGAAGACTTGGTCGGATGAGGCAAAGCTGAAACTCCAGGCCTGCCTTGATTGCACTGATTGGAATGTTTTTGAAGATGCCTCTGCAGACCTAGATGAGCTCACAGATACTGTAACATGTCAGCTTCTGCGAAGACTTATGTGTACCAACAAATGTGAACCTGCAAATATATAGTAACAATAAACCTTGGTTCACAGCTAAACTTAAGCAGCTATGTCGTTCCAAAGAGGAAGCCTACAGAAAAGGCGACAGAATGCTATACAACCAGGCCAGAAACATATTAACAAGAGAGATCAGAGCAGCAAAAAGAAGCTACTCTGAAAAGTTAAGGAATCAGTTCTCAACAAACGAACCAGCAAACATGTGGAAAACTCTTAAAAACATCACTGGCTTCAGCAAACCTCCTTCCCAGGCAGAAGAAAATCAACAACTAGCAGATGACCTGAATGTGTTTTACTGCAGGTTTGAAAGGAAACCACAGCCACCTATCTCTACAACCCACATTTCAAACACACCAACAACAGCCAAGCCTCCTACAACCGGCCCCAATCCACTGGGTTCACAACCTCTGGTGATCACAGAAAAAGAAGTGCAAGATCAAAAGACAAAAGCCAGGAAAAGCACCAGGGCCAGACAAGATAACTCCTTGCTTAAAAGTCTGTGCTGACCAATTGGCCCTCATCTTCACCTGAATCTTCAATAGATCACTAGAAATGTACTATGTTCCTTCCTGCTTCAAACGCTCTACTATCATCCCAGTGCCAAAGAAGCCCTCCATCAAGGAACTGAA